ATACCAACTTCTCATTGCTGCCTCATGGTGCATGCCTTGTATAATTTTGTTTAGTTGCTGTAATAGTTCCTAAGAAAATGTGCAGCCTCATCGTAATGATGTTGGTAAATACTCCAGCGACTCAAGTGGGATAGCAGGCGGCAGTCCAAAAGGTTTTGGAGCAGGCAGACGCTAATGGCCTTTAACGCTGGCTGCGACTTCAAGGTTGCCTCAAGGGTTGAACACGCCAAGGTTAAGGAGTGCAGATGTCTAAGGGGCGAAAGGTTAGAGCTAATAGCTCAGTTTCATATCTATTTGATGGCAGCTGCTTGCTCAGATTACCAAACATAAATAAATGAGTAATTGAGACTTTTTTTGGCTGATAGCAAATCGCATAGGTCTTATCGGTCTAATGGCATTTCATTTTAAGCAAATACTGCTAAATTATGTTTTCAACAGCGATCGATCAAATTCAAATGGAAGAGCACACGCACACACAGATGCAGATGTGTGTGCAGGCCAGATTAGGGAAGGGTATCGTATGTCAAGCAATGCATTCGCATGCGCAGCAACTGCCACCAGGGCAGACAGAAAGACGGCCAGACAGACCGACAAGCTGGTTAGATAAACAGAGGGACAAACAAATAAACAAACAAACGGGCGGACTGTCAGTCAGCGAGCGCCATATGTGCGTACACATCTTGGGCTTCATACATAAATGCATGTGCATATATCTAATGCATATGAATGTGTGTGTGTGTGTGCGTGGCGTACGTGAGTGTGGCATGGTGGAGGCAAACATAAAACTACCGTTTGATCGATCGTTTTGATTAAAAATGCAACACATTTCTATATGATCTGTCACAGACAAGAGACAACAGACATCAGACATCAGGCTGAAAGCCGCAAAAGTCTGCGACTGCGGTCGGCGGTCGGCGGTCGGCGAAGAGACAAGCGAAATGTTTGTTAAAGTGAAATTAACGTCGCCAGCTAACAGCCTACCAATCAACAATGCCAGCACACTGTCCAACACAGTCTGAGTGAGTATCTATATCTATGGCTCAGGCTGCAGCCGCTGTATCTGTATCTCTTGCTGTTTCTGTTTCTGTTTCTGTATCTGTAACTGCTTCTATGGCGCAACTCACGCATCATCTCTGCGCGCGTGTGTGTGTGTCTTTGCAGACAGGCAGCAGCCTTTCATTGGCATGCAGTTGTCGCCATGTTGCAGAGTTTGCCAAGTCGCTAAGTTGCCAAGCTGCAACTCGCAGCGCGTTTTCCGCATGATTGTTGTCTGCGCTTCCTCCAGATATATAAACCAAAGCAGAGCCGCAGCCAACTCGCAGCTCATCTGGTTTACAGTTTTGTTTTACAATTAATGAAATTCGATCGATTTATTAACTGTGTGTATTTTGCATTGCCAGCCAGCTGCCCCCGCAGCCGTCGTAGCACGATGACGATGCGTCGCCTCGTTCAGCACAGTTTTGGAATATTTTTGTTGGCTGCACTTGGCTGTCCATTAACCTTCATTAGGCTTAGCTCTAAATTGTCAATGTTGTTAGTGTGTTGTAGCTGCACTCGTTTTGTCGCCGTTGTGTGTTGACAATTTCGATCGTCGTTCGATTTCACAATTGAACTTTATTTATTTGTTTGCCTTAATGAACTGTGTGAAACAAATTCGTTGTGGCTTGTGCTGTTTTGTGCAATTGCCCACGCCCACCCACCGCCGTAACAGTCGCCGCCCCTCCTGGCCAGCCACTTGACCAGGCTAACGCTGGAGCAGTCTCTTTGTTTAGCTAGTTGCTGTCGTTGCATTGACCAGTCGCTGGCGCATTTTTGTGCAGCTCAAATTGTTATTGCACAATTTTCGTTTTTGGGAAATTCATTGCAATCGCCGCAAGTGTCCGCTGCATCGGGTTGTTCGGGCTTGGCTTGACTTGACTTGAAAAACTGTCGACAACAAAATGCGCCTAATTGTCACTGACAGTTGTCGCGCATAACACTTTGTTTTAGCTAATTTTATGACGCCTATTGCGCGCCTAATAAATTCGTATTTGTTTGCGTTTATACGATTATACATAAATTCGTTTATGTATGCAAGGCTCAACGCGGCGACTAACAACACTGACTTAACGCGAAAAGCCATTCAAGTTCAGCACAAGGCTCCTTCCAACGGCACTGGGCACGTGTACGCTGCACCTTTATGGCGGCAGTTGAGTCATGGCACAGTTTGTTGCCCCTTTATGGCAGCATCAGCAACAGTTTGGCTACTGGGAATTATCATCGACACATTAGCATCCCTCTCTCTCTCTCTCTCTGTCACTCTCCCACGTTCTCTTACTCACACTACAGCGGTCAGCATGCAACCGTTAAAATTGCATGCCTTGGCATTGGCCATTATCAAACTGAGGCATCAATCTAGATGGGGCAGCCGGTAACACAATTGCAAATTGCAATTGCCTGGCCAATTACCAAGGGGAAAATAGAGCAAAATAGTCTAACTTGAGACTCTAAAACTAGTTTCGTCTAACACAGAATCTCTATCTATGGCCTTAAGAGAGTGGCCAAGCGGCTGCCCAGCTGCCCAATGATTATGCAATTTACTTGATGCTTTCCTATTCTCTGCCCCCAGGGGCATTACGCCTATGTCAAGCTGATTGTGGCCGACACTAGGCATGAGTTGAAAAAAGAGGAAAACTTCTCAAGCTGCCATTGTTATTCCATTTGTATATAAATCATTTTCCAATGCTGCCCAAATTAGATACTAAATAATCATAAATAACTGGGTTAATTTGTAACGCTCGCATGCATGCGTAATGAACCATTTAACCCGATTAGCAAACGGGCCTACAACCGAGAACTACATAAATACTTGTGAGAGGTGGCTTCTGCTGGCTTTGCCCTTTGTGATAAGTAGTTTTCAATTTCTCAACGAAGCGTACAAAAAAGGAAATCGCTCTAAAGGGAAACTCTGCGCTGCGCTGCGCGTCGCATGGAAAAATGTTAATGAAAACGAAAATCAATTAACGCCGTCATATCAGAAAAGCAAAACGGCCTGAAAGCGACTCGCGATCTCTTGGCCCCCGTCAAGTTCAAAGTTATAAATGTGCCACAGCTCGTGCAGAGTTTTTTAATATTGTTTGGCTTTTTTCTTCCCATTTTTCGACTTTTCGTTTGTCGTCGCTGACGGCATACAAAATCAGTTCACAAATCGTGTGCCATAGTATTTCTCTATATTTGTATTTGTCTTTTATTTCAGGTTTCTTGCTTGCTGTATTTCCTGCGCTGCATTTGAAAGTCAAGACACAGAATTATTCTGTCATTGGCTGCCTAAGCCGACTGGGATCAATTACCTTTCAAAACCAATTTGCATTTGAAATGCATAACAAAATCGTGTGCACACAACATTTTGGCAGTCACACGCTGTGCCTCAGTCTGTGGCAGAGTATTGTTAGCCAGCTGATTGGCAGGCTTTCAAATTTGCCAAGCGAGTGCTGCAAATGCAGGTGGCTCCAACTGTGGCACCCACACAATTGTCTTATCTCCCTGGCAGTTGCTCATTATTGCAACAGTTGTTGCTGCAGCCTTTGCTTGCTGTCTCTCGTCTACGACTAGAGGTGTGTCAGTAGTTGCAACTGCGGTTGCTGCTGCTGCTGCTGCTGCCGATTGGATCACGTGGCTCTGATCAATAAGTTTCAGGCACGCAAGCAACTTCTCTCTCTCCCCTCACTCTCGCTGGCTTTGGCAAAAAATATGGGTTAATGCGCAAGCAACAATTATTTGTTTTCATTGTTGATTGTATTTGTATTTGTGTTTGTTTCTGATGATGCTTGACGCTGGCGTTGTTAACAATTTCTTTACTCTTACTTTTGATTAGGCCATGAGTTGGCGTTATTTTCAGCGCTGGCGGATTAATTCTTGAAAAGTAAATCTGATGATGATTTGTCAACTGTTTGGCCAAACGCCTCAAGTGTGATTCCATATTTGTGGGTTACAATAACAAAGGAAAAACGAAGCAGCTTTCATTTTCTGTGAGACAAACTGAAAACATTGTGCAACACACACACTTACGCATATGCCTAATTGAATTCTTGCATGCCATGAGGCAACATATGTCACCCCTCGCATGCATCGAAATTACAGCAAATTAACAGAGGCAGCTGTCAGTCAGTCTGTCGATCTGTGGGCCTGTCCATTTGTCCATCACTTTCATTGCAATGTAAATTATGACAGCCTGTCCATAATTAATCAAAGCGTTAGGGCCGCCGCTCGGCTGTACCGGCAGCTATTTAGTCTCAATTAACACACGCAAATTATTATCCACAGCTGCTGGCCATTGACCATCGTTGCTGTGAAATATGCGCGGCATTTGAAAGTAAAAACAGTTCAGTTCAGCACCTACTGGAATTTGTTATACTTGTATTTAGTATAACGAACGTTTCGTCCGGCCTTTTGTGTCGCTCAACCAGTTTGGAAATTCTACAGCTTTAAGTGACTAGCAGGCAGCTAGGCAGTCAGGCAGAATGACTGACTGACTGACTGACTGACGAACTGCCCGAGCTTGCTAGACTCCGATGGCCATGGCGAAACCTGATGTGCTACGTGTAGCGATTTGTATTTCAAATGACGTCTGGTTCCGTTGAGTGAGCCAATGTCATCTGATTGAATTGCAAAAATTTGAGCTGGCTGCTCTGCAAGTTGGATGATACATTTGGCAATCATCTCTGGCCTGCTGCTGTTCTAACCATGTGTGTGTATATACCATTGCCTTAATGGCTAACCAATCAGTTGGCTAATCAATAGCCAAATACTGTCGAGCATGAGCTGCATACTAATTTAGCGAACCTACATACACGACACTTGCCTAGATTTATTGTCAAATATTTATCAATAGTTTATTGGCGTCGATTTTAGATTTCTAGTGAAACTCGTCGCGAAATAAATTAAGTAGAAATACCAAATTATCATATATCAAGCTGTTGTTATTCACTTTTAACTAATAAACTTTACCTTTCTCTTTGCAGCTCGCTTCTGATAGATTTGCATGAAAATTGCAGTCAACACAGGTAAGCACAAATGAAATTTCATTGCTGAACGCACAAAGATGTTTCGCAAAATGAAACAAGATGAACAAATATGCAAATGAAATCAATAAATATTTGCCAGATGCCAAATGCCTGATGTCAAAACGTAGCTATTCGCATTTTGACACCAAATAGCAATAAAGATTTCCAAAAAACAACAATAATATATGAATATATATAAATATATATTACAAATAGTCAAGACAGCAGCAGCAGCAGATGACAAGAAACACACAACAACAGCAACAGCAACAACAACGTGCTGTGAGGCAGACAGAAATCATTTATGTTAATCAACACATGTTTTCGAAGTCATTGGCCAGGCCAAGTCCACAGACCAGAGGCGCGATAGACCTGGCTAATGTAATGTGTCTGACTCTCTGGAGTGTCTCGTTTTGTTATTTGTTTGACTTTTTTTCTTTCTATATATATGCATATAAAAATGCCCAAAAAACCGAAACGAAATAAATATATACAAGAAACGTGTTTCTCATCTGTGTGTGTGTGTGTCGCACAACAAAATCAAATTCAAATTGTGCTCCGTTGAAATTTGCGCTAATGTTGCCATTTGTGTTGTTGTTGCTGCTGCTGCTGCTGCTGCTGCTGCTAGCAACATTGATGGGCCAGTTTGTTGCTGTTCGTGTCGTCTTTGTCGTTGTTGCTGTTGCTGTTGCTTTTGATGCTGCTGCTGAAGGTGTAGACACGAGAGTTATTTTGGTGTGCCGCCGACTTTATATGGCCGCCCCATGCCATACAAGATTTCTGCGTGCCTTGCGTTGTCGCGCCGCGGGTTTTCTAATTCTTATGCAAATATGCAGTGCCAATGCCGACGAGAGTTGTGGCTGTAGCTTCTGTTGATGCTCGCCAACTGTTTGCTAAACACGATACGATATGTACGTAAATGGTCTCTCTCTATCTCTTTCCCTCTATCTGCGGACATTGCACATCACTGCGGATTCTTGCGAAATTTTCTGTGACTCAAAATCGTCAAACTCGCCAAACACATTTCAAAATCGAATTCGCATTAATTTCTAAACGAGTTAAGCGTAAAAGGTGAAAACAACTTTTTTTGTTGTGCGCTCAACTCTCGAAAGCTGAGACAACAACCACAGTCAGAGAACAACAACCAACAACAACAGCGAGAGCCATAACAACAATGATAACTAACGCTTTTAAATAACCATAAATGACAGCGCAGATAAAGGCGGCCCATAAAGTGCCAACTGACTTGCCATGTGACGTGAATTTGCGGCGCTTCTGCCAGAACCAGCTTTTGCCTGAAGAGAGCAGCACAACTGTAAAAGCAAACAGCTAAATGCTTAATCAAATTACGCATACGCCCCGTGATGTGATTCTCTTGTTTTTTACCCAGACATGACTCATAAATAATCACTTGATATATGGGCAAAAGCAATGCACTTTATTGTCAATTTATTTATTTATTTTTAATGATTTTATGTAGCCCAAAGGTCGACGCTTAAACAATGAAGTTGGCCAAAAGTGCAAATTTTTATTTGTTTTCTATGCTAAACTAGCAAACGAGTCTTATCTTTAAATTCTCATTAATGAAATGTAACTGCCAGTTTTTTAATAAGTTGTCAACTAAAGCAGTATTAGCAACTCAAAGTTGTGAACCTCAAACAAAAACACTCTTTACATACTTCAATTTACGGAGCAAAGAAACTCCCATCTCTAAAGTTTGATATCTGAATGAGATTTATCACAGAAACGACTTGACTTTTATTACACATTGCTTAGTCAAATATGTTCAATTTTTTTAAATAATAATAGTAAATAATAATAAATATAATAAAATAGAATAAAATATAAAATATAAAATAGAATAATAATAATTTCGGAATTTGTTGTTTATCCAGTATCTAGATGCATCTAAACGAGCTGAATAGGACTTTTACAAGAAGCTTTGATTTATTATTGAACTTTCGTATTCGCTGTCGCAGTTCCAGATTGTATAATATCTTTGCATAGTAAACTCAACCACTTGACCACGGCAGCAGTCTTAATGTGTCGCTGTTACTTTTCATTTAAGCAGAACGCGTCTAAATATGCCCGCCTGTTGCTTGATTTGCGTTAATCTTAGCGCTGCTTTTGTTATGCTGCCCAAATGGAATGAAAGCCCACGTCTGATTCCTTTCATTACCAGGCACAGCATGGCACCACTTGACTCCTTTGCACTCTTCGCCCCCTCGGGCAAGTTGATTGTGTGCGCTGCTTATGAACTTGACATGCAGAACGAATGGGAAGAGTTGCATTCGAATCATTCTATGTTTATGGACATGCTGCACTCATCGGCCCCAATCGTGGTGGAAGCGTCGGTCCGTCAGTCGGCGAGTCCATGTGTCCGGGAGACAACATAAACTCACACTTAAAATCAATAAACGTAAACTGGGCAACGCCTGCCCACCTACGAATTCGTTGGACATGTGTAAGCTATAAAACTATAAAATAGCACAAACTTATGCGTACAATAAGCATAAACAAGCCATGCCCGCAGACAAGCCCTAAAAAATATATATGCTGAGAAGCCGAGACTCCTTTGTATGAAGTTGTTGTTACATGGGTAAACAAGTATTTTTATTGCTACGCATAAAAGGATCTCGGGCGACTGTGGAGCAGCCCCACTCCTGACCATAAAGACACTTAATTGCCATTTTATTACCTCAACTATTAGGCCACAGCTGGCAGTCGCAGTCGCTGTCGTGTCCTTCATTAGAACTCGTATTGGAGCGTCACGTCTTGCACTTCATTTACGCATCAGAAATGGCCAGCTGACAAGGCATATAGCACCGCCGAGGACAAACACAAGCGCAAGCTTAGCCACATCCGCTGAATGCTGATACATGCAAAGTGGCCCTGGTCTGTGCGCCCTTCAGCAACAACTGCAGTCGGAGTCGCAGTCACAGTCTCAGTCTCAGTCTCAGTCTCAGTCGCGATATCTTTAATGAAATCTGCATGTTTTGTGCCTTAACAAGCATTTTGCTTGTCTACTCATGTCGCTCTCTCGCCCGTAGAGATGCCATTGCCGTAGATGCGATCCTTTTGTGTGGGATTCCTGGCATGAGGCAGAGACGGCTGGGACGGCTCAGACAAGCCATTGGCTGGCTGATCGCCGGCTTTGTTGTTGGCATTGTGGGGCCCAGGCAAATCTTGTTAGCGCAAATATTAACTTGTAAATATGATGATGCCCCATGGAAATTGTATAAATCGCTGATAAATATCATTAGGTCTCAACTCTGCAACAACAACAACAACAACCACTAGTGGGGCTTCATTGCTTTTATTATTTTTTTATTTTCATTTTCGCTTTTTCCTCATGTTTTTTGTATTCGCACAAGTATTTGTATTGCAATGCGCCTTGCAATTCTATTAAGATTTTTATCTTAAGTGCTTGTACAGCCTATTTGCTGCACTGTACTGCCAGAGAGCGTATACGTACTCGTAATTGTTTAGCAAATCAGTTGGAGAGGGCTCTGGAGAAGCTCACTCTATGCCAATGCCATAAGTGTTGCTGTTGCAGTTGCAATTGTTGTGCTTGATTGCACGGTAGTAACTGACAATTTGCAATAACATTCGTTTATGAGCAGGAACTTGCGTTAACTCAATTGAATAGAAAATATCTCTTTATATATATAAGTATTATCGCAACATATACTTATCAGTTGCTGTCGTCATGATGGTTCTTTGTTTGTTTGGTCTGCTCCTGGACCCATCATAATTCTAAGCAGCACAAAACACGCTTCGCGCTCGTAAATAACTGCAACAGAACCAGCAACAAAGACGTGACAAATGCACTAAATGAGCTGCTTTATAGCGTGGGAGTTGCATTCTGCTCTCCCGGCGTGGCCGAAGTTCATGAGAAGCACTGTAATGGCGCCAGCGACAGTGCCTCTGTCACTATCTTTGTGTCTCTCTCTCGCTTTACCTGTTTTTGTCTCTATCTCTGTCTCTGTCTGTATCGCTGTTCCTGTGATAAAGTCACTTAGGTGCTCATATTTCAAACGAAACGTGCACATAAGCTTCCAACTCATATGCATTCATGTTTATTGCATTCACTCACACAGACAGACACACACACACACACAAAGTTGCCCATATTTGGTCTGCTAATCAGTGCTGCCCTATGGGGTTCCGGTGCCATTTGGTAGTAATTTGGAGCACTCAACGCGAGCAGCGGGCCAGCGGTGCTGCACAGTTGGAAATGCAGCACTTGGCTAACCAAAGCCGGCCACAAAACGCTAAACACAACGCGGCATGGTGCACGCTGCGTATGCGCATTATTTTACAGACGGGTTCAATAAACGATTAGCTGACCGCCCAGTTCTTAGAGACGTTGTTGTTGTTGCTGCTGCTGCTGTTGTTGTTGTTAGCATTGTTGGCTGCTCGCCGCCACATTGCGTGTGCGTCTGCCAAAGTTATCGCGGCTTTTTACACTAAGACGAAGGCTAATATGTCATTTGGTCATTGATACGTGCTACGTCGCGACGTCCATGCCGCCAAGCGGCGTACGCAGCACCAAAATGAAGAAGAAGAGTTAAAGAGGGGCAAAGTGGTGCGAGGGCAAATGCGGCGTCGAACGGTGCGACCAAAGCAAAACGCTTACTGTCAGTGTGAGGCGCGTATAATTAATTGCGCCTATCAATATCGCTGTTGTGTCGTTGTTGCTGTTCCCGTTGTTGTTGCTGCTGTTACTGTTGCTGTTGCTGTTGTGGCTATAGTCAAAGCTGCACGCATATGGGTAAAGCCAGAGCCAAAGCCAAAAGTTGGCCGCATGCTTAGCCAGGCAGCCTCATGGCCATCGGCAGCAGCTCATTGAGATAAGCCTGTCCGTTTGTACGCATTTGGATTTTGCATAAATCATGGCCATGCGAAATGTTATGTCAGCGGCTCTTAAATGAAGAAATAACAAGAAAAGGCCCTTCTCCATAATGGTCTAAATGGATATTGCTACGGTTTGTTATGAT